TAGATATATTTTACACCTGATGATGGTTTTATAAAAACCGAAACATGTTGTGTAAATGTTCCGAAATGTAAATCGATCAATCGATATGGAACATCAATGATATTTTATTATCTTAATTATAAGAAATTTTAAATATTGTGATCAGACGGATTAAAATAAATAATTGTTATAACTTTAATAATATTTCCACAGTTTGTTGTTTATTTAATGACGCTGTCAGTATCTCAGCGTATATAGCGTTAATTGATAGTATGTTTAATAAATTTGAAAGTATATGGAGGGAAGCGGTCGTGGCCCGGTTTGAGGCACTTGACTGGAATGACTTGGGGGGGGGGGACCTCACAAAACCCCAGTGAGGACAGACGGACTCCAGGTCAAGGTTTGAAGACGGGACCTCCCGAATGTGAAACAGCAGTCCACTACCTGGGATCGAACGTGGTGTTTGGGTAGATAGCACTCACGGTTTGTATTTGGTAGGTCCCAGATTCAAATCTCAGCCAGGAGACCGGCTGTGCCACCTGGGGATGTTTGTTGTTTTTCTCAGTTCTTCCAGGGAAATTCAGTAATAATACCTCAAATAAGGGCACTGATGACTTCTTTCATATTTCTTCCAATTCATTATTTCCTGTTATCATATAATTTGACAGTATCTAAATGTAAGCAATAGGAAGGCGTAGTTAATTTAATCCGTAGCAAATCCATTACCTAGAAAGTACGTTTCATTACCCTAAACAATATTACTATCTATTTCTTAGATCCAGATATTCATCTCAGTACCAGAATTTTATATGTTCCTTTGATTTTCACAAACCAAACAACATGTGGACTGAAATTATAGTTTTGCATGTTTTAATTTTTAAGTTTTTGTTTGGACACTGAAATGTAATGGGACAGAGCATGCTTATATTTTCTATATTTGTTGCTCATTTAATGCTACCTTTTTGCAGGGCATTGGCGATGGATCTGTGATGTTACGCAGGCTTAAAAAATGGATGGCGAGGATGTATCAGAACCCGCCGTTGAAGTTTCTGCCGTCGTTAGAGTTGTGCAAAGGTAGTAAAGGAGTATTGTCTGCAACACTGAATATGTTATATGAAAGTGGTGCATCGGAATTACGCTTCACAGATGCTTAGCAAATGGGAACATGTGTCATACAGCTACGACAAATGTGACCCAATGTTAGACGATGGTGGCTAGAATGTGCAAGAGTCTGTAACATATCGTAGTTCATTGTTCGTGATGGCCGCCTCTCTTCTGGAAGGCAAGCGATTCTTCTGCCGGGAGTGGGCTTTCCTCAAGTTAGCACACTCTCTGGAACAACGCCCAGTATCCAAAACATGTGGCACGATGGTGGTTGGAGGACCTGGAACAGGCAAAACAGCCCTGTGCTGTGAGATAGTTTGGCCCAAACAGGGCTCTGCCTGTAGACAACAACGCAGCCTGAACAGGCGTCTCCTGGCATACCATTTCTGTCAAGCCCACGATACAACTACCCTGTCTCTCTCAGTCTTCGTGCGAAGTCTTGTGTCCCAGCTTCTCGCCAAATGTTCTCCTCCATCTACAGACGAAGATGGAACTATCCTACAGTCACCATCTTCTCCACATATTCCGAAAGCATTTTCTGCCGCGGAGGGATATGCAGATAAAGTTCGGAATGACCCAGAAATTCTTGCTGCTTTACGCCCGGAAGCTTTAGACAGAGACCCTGACGAAGCTTTAAAACGTGCAGTTCTCTTCCCTTTACTAGAAATTGAACCTCCAAAACAGTGCCTATTTTTATTAGTGGATTCTATAGATGAAGCTCAAATGTTGAACATGTCCGGATCGTTGACTGCGTCATCTTCAAGTCGCCGTGGATCGGTCGGAACGAGCAGGACAATTGCGGAACTTCTGGCGAACCATCACCATCTCTTTCCTCAGTGGCTTGTACTCGTTTGCACAGCGAGAAGACAGAGCAAAACCGTATCACGGATGTTTACAGGATTCCGGAAGATCAGTCTAGACGACCTGAGGAAGTCCCAGGTTGTACGGGATGTTCAGCAATACATTCTCGCCCGTCTGGATCAAGAAGACTCTCTCAGACAACATATTAGTCGGGACACGGCTGAGATGTTGAACCAACTCCATATCAAGAGCAATGGTTGCTTTCTATACCTGGAGAAAGTTTTGGACGGTGTTGCCGAAAATTTCATTGTTCTAAGGGAGATACGAGAGATCCCTGGCACATTAAATGGTCTTTATCTTTGGCTTTGTCAAAGACTTTTCAATCGAAAACAGTTTTCCAAAGTTCAACCTTTACTTAATGTAATTCTTGCATCAAGAAGACCCTTAACTCAGGATCAACTTTACCAGTGTGTGTGGACGGCAAATACCGCAATGAGCCGTGAGGACTTCCAGAAACGCCTGCACCTGCTGCGGCGGGTGTTATCGGTGTGTAAGGATGGCACACTGCTCCTGTTTCACCACAGTTTTGCTGAGTGGTTGTTGGATGTGAAGCACTGCACACAGAAGTACTTGTGTTCTGCAAGCGAAGGTCATGCCATGCTTGCTATGAACCATACACTGAGGGCACATGAACTCACGGCAGATGAGGTACAGGGCTATGCACTGCATTTGAGTCGGCTGCCACCGCTGCCTGCATCTGCTGCCAGTGATCTGGCATCTTCCTGTTCGCTGGATTACCGCCACGTCATTCTGCTGTGGTTGATTGGCTCTGGGGCCCCTGTTGAAGACTGTCTCCTCCAGGTGAGATATTCTGTCACAGTACTAAAATCTATATTCCACCTATACAATAGTAAAATGTTCCAGTTTCAGAATGAACAAACATTACACCCAAATGCATAAGGGAGCATGTTATGAAAATGGATCTTGGAGAAATAGGGTATGAATGGGTAAACTAAATTTAGTTGGCTTATGGAATACAGTGACTGGCTCTTGTGAATATGGTGATGAACATATGCCAAGTGATTATTTCCTTATGCTTTCTTTCACATGTACCATCATGGCGATAGAGTGTAGTCTTTTGAGGTTATGTTTTTGAAGGGAAATGGACTTCATGTTTAGTAGCACTAGCCCTACCAAAAGTACCTCTTATGCACTTAATACTTGCATTATTTAAAATTATGTTTTTTAACAATATGTTGAATGGAAACATTCACAGATATTGGAAGAGAACATTGGACTGAAAATGACATACAAAAGGGAACAACTCGCTGGTAAGAATAACCCAAAGTATAAGCATTAATCACCTTCCATCTTTTCAGACTTTCAAATATACTCTTTCTAGGTGGTTCTCCACCAAAATTCTGTAAACATTTCATGTCTCCTGTTTGAAGTACATGTGTGGTACAAAGTCTGTTTTTCACTATTATACCAATTCTGCACGACCTGCAGATCATTCATCTGCCTTCAAATACTTTGTCATACATCATCTGTTTATGTTCTTCCCTAAGTGAGAGGGCATGTGCACATTATATACAATTTATTATCTTAATCCTCATCTTTATTAACTTGACGTGACTGAATCTCGTTTGTGGTTCTTATACTTACTAAATGCGGACAGGTGGATGGATTGGATTGGGAAGAGAGACTGAGCTCAACGCTGCCAACACCTAGAGACCCACGTGTTGTTCGATTACTCCTCGAAGCAGGTGCTAGGCTGTCAACTGAAGAAGACAGAGGTGAAGCAGGAGATGGAGAGAGTGGCTGTGAGTGTGCAGAAGTTGTCACATCTAGTCAGGTTTGTACTAGATGTGTTCTTACAGCTATGCCAGTTATAGTCTTGTTATGTCTCAGTCACAAATGGTGGAACACTTTCTTAAAGTAGGTTACTGTATTTATTTCTGTATCCAACTGGGCCTAGAACTGGACATTTAGTTCTGTTTGTGCAATGATTGATCTCTCACATAAAATATGTTTTTATTTTACTGTACATTTGCAGGTATCAGATGAATGTAGCCCAGTCGTGGAATCGTTGATTCGTGATCCTCTTGCTGAATTGTTGGGGGTTGTGGATGGGGATGTTAATAGGCCAGATGGGGTTGGACGCACCTTGTTGCACTCATTGTCAGCTGAAGGAAATGCGCGACTACTGGAATTAGCAATAGCGACATGTCATGGTGCAGACCTTGAAGCTACTGATCGCCATGGACAGACGCCACTCAATCTGGCTGCTAGGCATGGTCATGGAGATGTGGTGGCAGTTCTGTTGGCAGCTGGTGCCACACCAGATCATGCTGACTGTGATGGTTGGACTGCACTCAGAGCAGCTGCATGGGGAGGACACACGCAGGTCAGAGTGTTGTCAAAATTCTTGTATACTACATATGTGCATGTTAAAACAAATTCTGAGAAAAATGTTTAATGAATATTGGCAGTTTAGTGTTTTTTATATTAAGAAACTACATGATATAGTATTGTTAGGGTAGGAGGTTATGATTGACCTGGCATGTAACTGGTGTTGCTTCATTTGTTTCTAGTGTTAAAGCAACATCTAAGAGACCACAGATTTAAAACTGATGATAACTTGGAAACTGCAGAGAATAAATGACTGAAAGAACAGGACACTTATGCCTATGTACAGAGGATAGTAAAGCTCATCCTGTAGCAGTTTTCACAAGATATAAAAATAATTTATGGGCTTTATTGCTGTATCATAGTATCAGGGAATAACTTAAAGATGTATGGCTTGTAAGCTAACATTCTGACTGCCGATTTTATATGTGTAGATTGTAACTTTGCTTTGTCTGGCTATACATACACTGAAATTTGTTGGTTTCAAGATAATCTATCACATGCTGCTCTGTCCAATTATTTTATGAAAGTAATTTGTGATCCTTTGTTCCTTGGATTTTGTGGTTATGAAATAAAGGCTACCTTCTGTATCACTATGACAATATCTTGAGTGGTGTTCGTAATGAATTAGATGAACTATTGTGGGCTGTGTCTTCTCTGTCTGAATCTGAGGATTTGCAGTACTGTGGTGTTGACAGATCCACTTCATGTGTATCTGAGTAACTCAGCTGCACAGTGCTTTTTTGAGCTGTTGATTAATAAAGGTGAATGAAACATAGCACACATAAAGGAATTCCTTGCCTTAATAGGCTTTAAAATAAGTTATAATCATTATAAATCCAGAACTAAGCATTCCATTTCATATTAATACATTTATATCTTTCTGTTACAGAGGACAAAGAATTTTTCTGTTTCCAAGGTAATGTCATGGAATTGTAACAGAATATGTTTGATTGTGAAGGGTTGTGTGCTCTTAATGACAATCCCTTCTTGATTGTCTGCATCGAAAACTTCTCTACATTTGACACTTTCGTGGTCAAATTCTTTCTTCGAAAAAAAATTTCAG